ACCTAATCTAGCATGCCAAATTGTGAATGAACTATGATTATCTAATTTCCTTTTATTTTGTTGAATGGTTAGGATGGGACTTTCTGGTGTAATGGTATATAAACCATTTGTCAAGTTTCCTGAATATATAAAAGTTGTATCTTTGAAAATAGAACATCTTCCATTTTCAATGACAAACTTAAAACCTTCCTTATCCAATATTGGAATAGAAATAATGTTTCTTATAATATCAGGAACATACAAACAATTTGAAAGACAAACTTTTACACCATTATTTAAAGCTAGATAAACAGTCCCAATTGCTTTGGCAGCAACCCTTGCCCCATTGCCCATCCTTAGGATTGTTTCATCATTTTCTAGCTTTTTACTTCTTGCCATAATTTGCAAATTATTGCAAATGTGTGAGCCACAGCCGGTATCCAATACCCAAGAAGATTCGTTAACTGATAAGTTAACTTCAACAAAATAAATACCTGAACTTTTCAGGCTTGCAAGATATTTCTTGCAGTTCCTCTTCCAATGCCCAGTTTTACCACAATGATAACATTTATTGGGTTCAGTTAATTTGTTTTGTTCAAGGATACTTGCAATTGGATTTTTAGCCATTTTAGTAGAGTGATCTACAAAAACAACAAACGAAGCAGAAAATAATTAAACTATGGAATTTATATTCATTTAATATTAGGTCTTTAATATTAAATGTCTCCCACTATTTTAATTAAAACCCCTTTTTAATTATGAAAATCTAATTTTCATAGTGGGCTTGAAGTCCAATAAAAATATTCCATATCCCAATTTTATGAGTACGCATGGAACATTTATATCGGTAGTCAACTTTTGACAATTGTATCTCTATACAACCTTCAAGATGTTTTGCCTCACCTTTCCTTATATACCTCAATTTTATGACCGTATATATTACTCGGTGTCAAATCAAACCCATCAAAACTTTCATGATAATGGCCCACCAGAGTGTCCCACGACTCATGGTCAACACAAAGAGGAATCCATCTCACGAATATCAATATATTTAATAGAGTTCACAGCTTTCGACATAGAATCATCCCACGACTCGTGGCCAATGATAAAACATCGTAGCATCTCATGTCATCTACTTTTGATGGAAGACCGGGATTAATAAGTTCCAACTTATTTTTATCCATTATTGATTTGATATGGAATTAATCAAATTAATCCGTTTGGGTTCCTTGATCTCATCGATTACCATCTTTACGTTTATTTACCGATTTCAGTCACCTAATGAAACGAAAGCGTAAATAAACCTAACATACATCTAATGCATGGTGGGATGATCATGTCCTTGCCTATTCGATCCATTCGAGCCAAAATGGATCTATGCCTATGTACGTGATAAAACAAATAATAGAACTACTTCTATTACATTTATTCTATCTACCCGTACAAGCACAGGCCTTCGAGATTACAACTTGTAAAATTACCCACACATGCGTGGGCCTTTGTCATCGAACGGTCTCCACCTTGATCTAATCTCTAACGATACAAAATTTAAAATTTTACAAATTTCATCTCAAGAGACTCGCAGGTCTCGATAAATTACATTTCTTCAATCATATTGAAAACATAATTAAACATCCATTCATTCATTCAATCATATTGAAAATGAAAACATCCATTCAAACATAATGAATATGAGGCTCATGATCATCCCTAAAACATTCATCTAATGAAATGAACATAAAATATCAATTTATGAGTCACACGACTCGTGTGAGGGTCACACGACCCGTGTGATCTTATCACACGACTCGTGTGAAAAATACGAATTGAAAATCAAAATTTTTCCCAGACTCACACGACTCGTGTGGCTCGTCACACGACTCGTGTGAGCTCACACGACTCGTGTGACAAGGTCACACGACTCGTGTGAAAATCACGAAGCTAAAATCAAAATTTTTCTTCATGCCACACGACTCGTGTGACAAGGTCACACGACTCGTGTGGCTTAAAAACGATTTTTAATTTTATAATTAATATTTTTATCATATAAAAAATTAATTATATTGCTTATCTCATAAGTCTTAACAAATCAAAATCTGTTTTAAAGACGATAACCGTGGCTCTGATACCACTGTTGGGTTCGATAGTACCGTACGGGCTGTACGCAGCGGAATTTAAAATTTTTAAAGTAAGTATTTATCGTATAAATACAACACCCGTACATACTAATTGCGAATTAACTGATCGTCATCTTTAAAACATGCATCATATACAAATTTTGATTTGTTACTATAAAGTAAATACTAGTAAAAATATTTACCGAATGTCTTGAACTCCTTCACTATTGATGATGGATGAGGGAATCGGTTCCCGGTTGTAACTTCAACGACTTGAGGTTACTCGCTAGAGGAATCCAAGTGTCTTCCCTCTAAACGTATCCACCCTATGAAGCCCGGTTCCGACGACTTTCCTTCGCTAGTAGAAAAGACTCGGTTTTCTTGTATAGGAATATTTATGAATTTTATTTGGGAATTTTAAGAACTCTTTCTTGAAGTTTTATGAAGAACACTTTCTTCTCTTTCTAACACTTAGAAATTTAGGATCAAAAACTTCACTTAAATGCAAAACCATTTTGCATATATTTATACTAAACATTTTAGCATAAAATAATCAACATTTAGTAATATTAAATAAAATCAAATTTTATTTAAATAGTATTTACTAACTTTTGACTTTGAAAATAATAAGATATGTTAAGTAGTTCAAACAACCATCAACAACCATTTTATTATAATCATATTTATTATTTTAATCCTTAAATCATATTTAAAGATATAAATAATAATTGGATAATAAATCTTGAGAATCTTTCTCAAGACTTTATTATTATATCATTTTCCCAATATTATAATAATCATATTATTATTATTTTGGATTTTTGAAATTTAAAATCCTATTTTAAAATTCAACTTTATTAATTTAGTAATTACCTTAATTACTAAAGTAATATCCAAAATGTAATTAATCAATCTTATTGATTAATATATTCCTTTAATTGATATCTAATCAAATTAGATATTTATCAATTAATTCTAACCATTAGAAATACAATCTTTACCTTTGTTCATAATTAGTGTGACCTTTTAGGTTCACCTTAATACTAGTAGTGGGTTTACAACACTTTGTAATTTGAGTTAAATCTTATTAACTCTTATTCATGAATTAACCCTTTAATTTATGAACCCACATATCATGGTAACACCTAGCAAGTAGCATGAATCTAGTATTAAGTGAATAGCGAGTAAACCTATTCCGATTACAACTCCATACATGTAAAATCCTTTCGACATCTAATTTCCCGATTAAGTCTTGGGTATGATTTTGTCGAAACCCAAATTGACTTAATAACTATGATTCTATTTCATGTTTATTAACCCGGTTATGAATCACTATTCATCTCTGCCTTGGCCAAGGACTTTGGATTAATAACTATGAAACACATAGGAAATTCACTTATCTTCATAAGTGTCGAATCCTTTATTGGCCACTAACAAACTTCCATACATATTAACATAATACCCAACTTATCCCTTTAAACGATAGTGCTAGCTACCAAAAGGATAAATCAAAGTAGAATGTAATATGCACAAAGTTACCATTGTGCCTCAAGTCTTAGGATTAGTCATGTACTATTGTAACATGAAAATTCTTATTCGACTGAATAAATTCTTCATTAAGAATTTTCATACGGTCATGTTCAGTGAACTTGTTCTCTAACAAGCACCCACATAAATGTACTTACGTCTTACGCTAATGTTGATGGAATGCAACATTCTTGTCCAACAAGCATACAAACTATGTGCAAGTCTTTTATGGATTATTCGATATCCCATCTCGAAACATCCATCGACTTGGAACTGTATTTAAGATCACGGCTTTCAAGGTATGTTCCATGATCACCATCTCTATGCGCAACCATACCTTATAACCATAAGTGATCTAGGGATTTTATCTTAAGTGCAATTATAAGATAAATGCTTTCTCTTAAGATAAAGAAATGCCTTATTCATAATATAATTCCAATAGACTGTATTTACAAGTAGAATACGTCCAATTAGATTGGAACGCCGGGTACCCTACTCTAACACTTCTCTCAAAAAAGGTGAATATGCCTTTTATAATGTCCAAAACCCTTCTCCTTTTCAAAATAGGTACAAAATAAAAACCAGCCTGCGCGCGACACTGCCAGTCTGCCCGTGTCACCGTCCGTGTCGCAGCCCGTGTCACCATCCGTTTCGCAGCCCGTGTCAGGTCCCTGGGCTTAGAATTCTCTTTGTTGAGGTGACACGGCCTCTGACAGGGGCATGATGCCGTGTCACTGCCTGTGTCACAAATCTGCACTCTCATTTTTGTTCGTTTCGCTCGTTTCTTCCATTTTTTTCATCCTTGCATCAATCTTTCATCATCCGGGGGGCCTTAGGTACTCACCATGCGCCTCCAAAAGCTCTACAAATATGTGGAAATATCTTCAAAACAAGAACGTGTAATACCTTTCCAACAAGAATAGAATAAAAGCACAATAATGCAATTTATACACCAATAATGAAATGAATAGGCTCTAGATACTATATAAATATGGTGTAAAATCACACATGAACACAAATTCACCATTGTGTCTAAAAATTGCACTGGAAAAAGTTCAAAATACCCCTTGATGTCAAATTATTTACAAACAAAGTGCATATAAATACGTTTTTTTGGCCATTTCGTTCTTCATACCGTGGAGCTTGTAAATCCCTCGTATCTCCAACACCATTGATCCATCACCACCCCTCAAAATCACCTTATAAATCCCTCGCATCTTGATTTTTTTCAATATTAATCTCATAAATTCACCATGTTCGGTGGGCTGTTGTGTCCTAGACGAGAACGCTCGTTAAGAAGGTAGTTAGATAGACAAATGGGCGGGCCCAACTAAGGTTTGCCTTCTTAGAGCGGTTACGGCGTCAGAAGGGTACGAAATGAAGAAAGTAATAGAGACATCTTCATGTGCATTTGATTCATTCACAAGCTCGTTCCATCGAAAGTTTTTTGCAAGAGAAAGGCAGGTGATCCGAACCTCCCCACCCAGTAGTGGCTCGTTCGCTACAGCAAGCTAAACCTCATCTGCCTCTTCCTCCCCATTCTCATGTTGCGCGACAACCTTGGTACTTGCAAAGTCGGCACACCGGAGAAGGATCTCGACGAAATCCGTGAGACCCACTCATACATCCGCCGTCGCGCAGCATCCTGGAGAAGGCCTCGATCTTCTTCAATAAGCTCTTCGACGGTGGCAACGCTGTCTTCTCCGTCAGTAGAAGCTACGTCGACTTCAATGTGTCCAAGATCCTAAAAGATGAGGGGGATGACGCCGAGGAATTCAAGTGCGACCCCGCCTAGTCAGAGACCATTACCTCTTGAATCGATCAAGAACAAGGTCTAATTTAGGGTGCGAAAAGGGGGGAAAACCAGAATAGGCAATAATAGAGTATACGAGTAATTGAAGGCTATCATTGTCATTCTTGGTCATATCCTTTATTTTAATCCACTGAAGTAGATGTTTGATTATTTTGAGANAGAAAAAAAAAAAAAACGCAACATGTTTTTTAAACAACATATACAAATCAAGTTGAATTAATAGTCCAATCATATCGCCTAAAGTAAAGAGACATGAGTAAATCGCATTACATCCATCGAAGGAGGTAAAACAAAAGGTGAGAATACCTTGCGATTGTTGAACACTAAAACTTACACCTTTAGGGTGTGTTTGTTTATTTTTTTTTTTCAATTAATACTTAATATCGAACTGAAATTAACTCAATTATACTATCTTCAATACCATTAATATTGATCAATCATTATTACACATTACATCAACTTTAATTAACAGTCCATCTACTTACATAATTTTAATTATTCATCACTCTACGTCATCTCTCTCATATTTTTACATTAAATATATACTTTAATAATTTTATTTTAAATATTATTTTAAGATAAATTCAAAATCTCAGCTAACTATATTATATTTCTTAAAATTAATCTTAATTAACTAAAAAAACTAATTTTGAACAAGTATAGTATGCTCGGAAAAAAAAAAGTATCGTATGCGAACAATTTAAGAAGTCAGAAAATAAATAAAATCATCCTTCACTTCAGTCGCCCTTTCCAATCGCCATAAACCCTAGTCTCCATTCACCGCCCGTCCGCCGGCCTTCGGCTCCGAAGCTCCGCTCATAGCCCCACCGGTCCTCATCTCTCTCTCTCTCTCTCTCTCTCTCTGTTACAAGAGAGACGTATACACAATAACACTCTCTCACCATCCTTCTCCCCGTTTCAGTCCTCATCGCCCTTCTTGCATAAACTTCTCCCCGTTTCTTTTCCTGAATCTTTCTCACTCTTTCTCAGCCTCTTTATTGTCGTCGCCCCTGACGCTGCTCGTACGTTCGGCGCCGGCCAGGCAGGCCATAGCCTCCCTTTTCGAAGGCGCGACCGTCATTTATCAGGTAAGCTGTTGCTAGTTATGAATTGTATTTCAAGTGTCCCAGTATGTTTTTGGGTTATATAGATGTCAGAGTGATTACAGTTTCAATTTATGGTTACCACAGAGAGAAAAATACTGACTACGCCATGGCAGCTGCTTGCGAAATAACAGCAACAGAATTCATCCAAGTATGTTCCCCCAAATCATAAGTTTTTATTAGTCTTGAATTCTGAATAAATAGTTAAAGATGATTTCGGCGTCTGCTTATATTCTTGTCTATACAGGGGGCATATAGGAAGAAACCGGTTCTGCTCGGTAATCCATTAAGGCCGGCGAACCAGATGCTTTGGGGTGCTTTTCGGGGAAAGCATCCTTCTGTAAGAATTTTCCGTAGACCGAGGCAAATCAACATCGAGGCCGTTGTCTCGAGGGATGCAAGTACAACTCCATTGAGCAAGGACTCAAAGATGGCAAAGAGTGATTCCGAGAAAGTCGTACATTTCTATCGCGTCCCTTTGATGCAGGAAAATGAGACAGCCGAGCTTCTCAGACTCGTTCAGACCAAAGTCTCCAACCAAATCACTGGTCTGAAAACAGAGCAGTGTTTCAATATTGGGATCAACGGGTATCTTTCAGCCGAGAAGCTTTCAGTCCTTAAGTGGCTTCTGGGGGAAACCTACGAGCCTGATAATCTGGGGGTAGAGAGTTATCTGAATGAAGATACGAGTAAGAGTTCGAAAGCTTTAATCATAGAAGTCGGGCCCCGCCTGTCCTTCACTACTGCTTGGTCTGCCAATGCCGTGTCCATTTGCAAAGCTTGTGGTTTGACTGAAATCAATAGGTTAGAACGATCGAGGAGATACCTTTTGTGCATGGATGCCGGGAGTCCAATGCTGTCAGATAGTCAAATCAAAGAGTTTGCTGCACTGGTGCATGACCGGATGACAGAGTGCATTTACAATGAGAAGCTTACGTCCTTTGAGAACAACATGGTCCCAGAGGAAGTCCGCTACATACCTGTCATGGAAAAGGGCCGTAAGGCTTTGGAAGAAATAAACGATGAGATGGGTTTAGCCTTCGACGAGCAAGATCTGCAGTACTACACGAGGCTCTTCATGGATGACATCAAACGGAACCCTACAAATGTCGAGTTATTTGACATTGCCCAGTCCAACAGCGAGCATAGCAGGCACTGGTTTTTCACCGGCAAAATTGTCATAGATGGCAAGCCGGTTGATAGAACCCTGATGCAGATTGTTAAGAGTACTCTCCAGGCAAACCCAAACAACTCGGTCATTGGCTTCAAGGACAACTCCAGTGCAATCAGAGGGTTTCTAGCAAACCAGTTGAGGCCCACGAGTCCAGGATCAACCTGCCCGCTGGACTTGAGTGCCCGTGACCTTGACATTCTGTTTACTGCCGAGACCCACAACTTCCCTTGCGCCGTTGCCCCATACCCTGGTGCCGAGACCGGCGCTGGTGGTAGGATTAGGGACACCCACGCGACTGGCCGTGGCTCATTCGTTGTGGCATCCACGGCCGGCTACTGTGTGGGGAATCTCAACATTGAGGGTTCATATGCTCCATGGGAGGACCCGTCCTTCTTGTACCCGTCGAACCTGGCTTCCCCTCTTCAGATTCTCATTGCTGCCAGCAATGGCGCTTCTGACTACGGCAACAAGTTCGGGGAGCCGTTGATTCAGGGTTACACGAGGACTTTTGGGATGAGGCTCCCGAGCGGTGAGAGGCGCGAGTGGCTGAAACCCATCATGTTCAGTGGTGGTATTGGTCAGATCGACCATGGTCACATATCCAAAGGGGAGCCTGAGATTGGGATGCTGGTCGTGAAGATTGGTGGGCCCGCATACCGTATCGGGATGGGCGGTGGAGCCGCTTCCAGCATGGTCAGCGGGCAGAACGATGCTGAGTTGGATTTTAATGCAGTACAACGTGGGGATGCGGAGATGGCGCAGAAGCTTTACCGAGTCGTACGCGCTTGTGTCGAGATGGGGGAGAGTAACCCCATAGTTAGCATTCACGACCAGGGGGCAGGTGGGAATTGTAACGTTGTCAAGGAAATAATATACCCCAAGGGGGCTACGATCGACATAAGTGCGGTTGTGGTTGGGGACTACACGATGTCGGTCCTAGAGATTTGGGGAGCGGAGTATCAGGAGCAGGATGCTATTCTGGTGAGGCCTGAAAGCCATGGACTCTTGCAGTCCATTTGTGAACGGGAGAGGGTATCAATGGCGGTTATTGGGACAATAAGCGGCGAAGGGCGTATAGTTCTCGTGGATCGTTTGGCTATTGAGAGGTGCGAGTTGAACGGGCTGCCCTTGCCGCCACCTGCTGTGGATCTGGAGCTCGAGAAGGTTCTTGGCGACATGCCTCGCAAGACTTTTGAATTCCACCGAGTTCGGAACCCAACAGAGGCACTCGATATTGCTCCTGGGATTACTGTTACCGACTTGTTGAAGAGGGTTCTGAGACTTCCTTCCGTTGCTTCCAAGCGTTTCCTGACTAGTAAAGTCGATAGGTGTGTGACGGGACTCGTGGCCCAGCAGCAAACCGTGGGCCCACTCCAAATAACACTTGCTGATGTGGCTGTGATTGCTCAGAGCTATGAGGGCATCACGGGAGGGGCGTGTTCGATTGGGGAGCAGCCGATCAAAGGTCTTTTGGATCCAAAAGCAATGGCGAGGCTAGCTGTAGGGGAAGCTCTGACTAATCTTGTGTGGGCCAAGGTCACTTCACTCTCGGATGTGAAAGCTAGTGGGAATTGGATGTATGCAGCAAAACTGGATGGGGAGGGGGCCGATATGTATGATGCGGCTATAGCCCTTTCGGAGGCTATGATCGAACTCGGCATTGCCATTGACGGAGGGAAAGATAGTCTTTCCATGGCGGCACACGCGTCTGGAGAGGTTGTCAAAGCTCCTGGAAACCTAGTAATAAGCACTTACGTGACTTGTCCTGATATTACTAAAACTGTTACCCCAGATCTGAAGCTCGGCAGTGACGGTGTTATCCTCCATATCGACTTGGCAAAGGGGAAACGACGCCTTGGTGGGTCCGCTCTTGCTCAGGTGTTCGACCAAGTTGGCGACGAATGTCCTGATCTGGACGACGTGTCTTACCTCAAAAGTGCTTTCAATGCAGTGCAAAGTCTCATTGACGATGAGCTTATTTCGGCCGGGCATGACATTAGTGACGGGGGATTGCTAGTGTGCGTGCTCGAGATGGCGTTTGCGGGCAACTGCGGAGTTCGTCTTAATCTGACATCAACTGAGAATAGTGTTTCGGAAACACTCTTCGCGGAGGAGCTCGGCCTTGTGCTTGAGGTCGGAAAAGAGAATCTCGATTCTGTCATGCAAAAGCTCTCGTATTCCGGAGTATCTGCCGAGATTATCGGCCAAGCTTGCTCCTCGCTGGCGGTAGAGCTAAAAGTCGACGGCACTACTCACTTGAGTGAACAAACATCCCGACTGAGGGACATGTGGGAAGAAACCAGCTTTAGTCTGGAAAAACTCCAGCGGTTGGCATCATGCGTGGAGCTCGAGCAAGAAGGCCTAAGAAACCGTCGCGAGCCGTCATGGGCCCTCACCTTCACCCCGAAATGCACAGACAAAAAATACACGACGGCAGAATCGAAGCCAAAGGTCGCCATCATTCGCGAGGAAGGCAGCAACGGGGACCGAGAGATGGCGGCTGCCTTCCACGCCGCCGGTTTCGAGCCCTGGGATATCACCATGTCCGACCTTCTGAGTGGGGCCATCTCATTGGGCGGATTCCGAGGGGTTGCGTTCGTCGGGGGATTCAGCTACGCAGACGTGCTCGACTCAGCAAAAGGGTGGGCTGCCTCCATCAGGTTCAACGAGCCCCTCCTGAGCCAGTTCCAGGAGTTCTACGACAGACCAGACACCTTCAGCCTGGGGGTTTGCAATGGGTGCCAGCTCATGGCCCTCCTTGGGTGGGTACCCGGCCCTGGGGTTGGAGGGGTGCTTGGAGGTGGTGGGGACCCATCGCAGCCGAGGTTCGTGCACAACGATTCGGGAAGGTTCGAGTGCCGTTTCGCGAGTGTGAGAATAGAGGAGTCGCCGGCCTTGATGCTGAGGGGGATGGAGGGAAGCACACTTGGCGTATGGGCCGCACATGGGGAGGGACGGGCTTATTTTCCTGATGGGGATGTTTTCAGTATGGTGGTGGGGTCAGGGTTGGCCCCCGTGAGGTACTGTGATGATGGTGGGAATCCCACAGAGGTGTACCCGTTCAATATGAATGGGTCTCCTTTGGGAGTGGCTGCCATTTGTTCGCCAGACGGGAGGCATCTAGCGATGATGCCTCATCCAGAGAGGTGCTTCATGATGTGGCAGTATCCGTGGTACCCGAAGAACTGGGAAGTGGATAGGAAGGGCCCAAGCCCGTGGTTGCGCATGTTCCAGAATGCTAGGAAATGGTGTTCGTGAGGTTAGTTGGCTTTTCTGTTCCTTTCTTAGGTTGCTGAATTTGGTGAGGTGTGAAGATTTGAATCTTTGAGCTGTGAGAAGAATGTAACTAGGTATTATTGGGGTAAGTAGGTATTCACGTTACTGATTTCTGTAATTCAAGATTATATGCCTCACAAAAATTTGATATGCAAAGAATATAAGTCCAAAAAGCTGAAATGTATCACCACTGTTTCTTTTTTCAGATGTTCAGCATGTCATTTAGTTGAAAACCTCTGTTGTCTTTTTTGTTGGAAAGGACAAATAAATAACTCAGATAATTATGGAAATTGGAATAAGGGGATGGGTGTTATAACTCTTTTTAGGCCCTCGTNNNGCGCTATATTTGAACTTATCAGGTGTGCTTGGAGGATATAAAATGAAAACTCACTGTCGACTGTTGGTACGCTTGTCCTGCAGTTACGACCTCATAAAGACAACTTTATGAAGCAATATCGTTAGCGATGTTGTGACAGAATTTGAGCCCTCTCCATGGAAGATTGTCCGCCAGTGGCAGCTTTGTATTGATTACATTTGGCGACCAATATAGGTAGTTTTCTTGGAAATGCCAAAATATTTCCATTATTTTGTTTTCTGTTTGTGCTTCGATATGAGCCCGCCGTTTGGAGCTTTCACAAATAGTAGACTCGTTGCTGTTGATGTTTACTTTCCATTGTTAATGCCTGTATTGAGTTTAGTCAAGACTCAACAGTGGAGCTGCAGTTAGTTTTTGAGTCGAATCCTGCACAATCTTGAATCCCAGGTATAATGTATCAATAATGGATTTTGTGATTGTTATTTATTATCCATTTTCTGAATATGTTCCTCTTTCATGTATGCTTGAAATATCATTTGGGTGGCATATTTTTGTTTTTTGTGGGACTAAATGATTTCTGGATTTTGAAAAAAAAAAAAAAATGGAAAGGGAGGGAGAAAAGAAAATCAGGTGTGCTTTACTAGATTTGTTTTGAGTATTTCACTATTTTGCTGAAATATCTGTTCACGAATAATTTGACAGGATTATGCCAATTAGTAACATAAAGGTTACCAGTAAATAAAACTATCACATGTCGCCCAACATGGAATATTGGTAAAGAAATGTATTCTCTATGTTGTTTATGGACTAATTAATGGATGCTACATCAATGTGTATATTTTGTTTACTTCTGTTTGGTCTTTCTAATGTACGATGTCTACTCTGCATTATACTTATAGATTTTTGGGGAGAATAAGTCTTGAATAGTAAGCGCCACACCGGATATGTAATTGACCTGAGAAAAAAGTTTATCTTGACTCGACTTCAATAGTTTTGAATTTGTTTTTCGTCTTTTTCAATTGGTTTGTAGTTCGTATATGAAATCGTAATTTAACTTCAATTCAATAGTTAGTTTGTATTCTCACTTTTTCGAAATTGTAATTTTAACTTCATTATAATAGATTTTATGTAAGAAACCCAAGTTCAGTTCAGCAGTTTCCTATGTGATCCAAATTTGTAACAGAAGATTATTCATAAACACATTAATTAATATGCAAAATGCATTGGTTTTGTACTTGGTATTTGTATCATTAGGTCAGATTTGTTAGCTAACTTTAATTTATTAAAATTTATTATATTTATTGTTTAGGTAATGTATAAGTAAGAAATAATTAACTATTCTTAAATTATAAAAATTAGAATATTAATATATTATGTTCTTTTATAAAACATTTACTATATGAAATATATTTTTTTTTTTACAAAATTAAAAAAATATAAATAAAAAAGAAAAAGAAAATTTCTATATTTATTGAGTTTATGACATTTGTAGAATAGTAAAACAACATAAGACAACTTAGGTTGCATCCGCTGACCATGGTTCAATTTGGTTGGACTAAATCAAGTACTAAAAATAAATATAAACTTTAATATTATGTAGTTCAAATAATCATTATAGTATGTTAAATAATTTATAATTTATTTTATTAATATTNGATTGAAAAAGAAGTCTCCAAAATGATCTGGGAACATAAAAGGAAATGCAGTGAAAATTCCCATACTTCCTGGTTCCAACTCTTTTTTCTTCTTTTCACATCCTTTGCTAGAAAGGCGATCGGAAAACACCAAAACACCCAAATTTTTCGATAGGAACCCCATTAAATAACATTCAATATCTACCAACAGCGATCGAGATCTACAGAATAACAGAGGCTCTGTCCCACACGCGCCGCCTTTTCATCGTCCGTCGGAACTCAAAATCTTGGATGGCCCAATTCACGCAGCAATTCCTCAACAGCGTCCTCTCGCAGCGGGGGCCGTCGGCGCTGCCGTACGCGGAGGACATGAAGTGGCACATCCGCCAACACCTGATGCACCTCATCGAGACCTACCCCTCCCTGCAGCCCAAGACCGCGGTCTTCACCCACAACGACGGCCGCACGGTTAACCTCCTCCAGGCCGACGGCACCGTCCCGATGTCCTTCCAGGGCGTCACCTACAACATCCCCGTCATCATCTGGCTCATGGAGTCCTACCCCCGCCACGCGCCGCTGGTCTTCGTCAACCCTACCCGCGACATGATCATCAAGCGGCCCCACCCCTTCGTATCCCCCAACGGCGTCGTCTCGATCCCGTACATACACGCCTGGGTCTTCCCGGCGTCTAATTTGGTTGAGTTGGCGAGGAATCTAAGCCACTTCTTTGCCCGGGATCCGCCGCTTTATTCCCAGCGCAAGCCATCAAACCCTAGCCCCAACCCTACCCCCAATTTGAATCCATCTTTCGGCAGTATGAATTCGTCTGTGGGGTCCCCCACGCCTCGGCCGGTCACACCACCAAGGGATTATCCGCCAACACCAACTCCACCGCCTCCTTACGGAAGTGGAAGAATCATGGAGGATCCTGCTGAGGTTTTCAAGAAAAATGCTATAAACAAGCTCGTGGAGAGTTTGAACGGTGATATTAGGGAGATGAGGAAGGCCAGGGAGGGTGAGATGGAAGGTTTTTTTGGGGCTCAGGCCGTGCTTAGAAAACGAGAAGAGGATTTGAGAAAAGGGCTGAAGGAAATGCAAGATGAAAAGGAAGCACTCGAGCAGCAGTTGCAGATGGTGTTGATGAACACCGACATTATGGAAGGATGGTTGAGAGAGAATGAAGGTAAAACGGGGAGTGGCAATGTGGATGTGGACGAGGCATTTCAGCCGTGTGATGCCCTCTCGAAGCAGATGCTGGATTGCACGGCATCGGATTTGGCAGTTGAGGATGCTATATATGCATTGGACAAGGCCGTGCAAGAAGGGGCTATCCCTTTTGATCAGTACTTGAGGAACGTGAGGCTTTTGTCGCGTGAACAGTTTTTCCACCGAGCCACGGCCTCGAAAGTGAGGGCCATTCAGATGCAAGCTCAGGTTGCTAATATGGCTTCCAGGGCTACACCACAGTACTCATTTAGTTGAGTTGAGGTCTGTTTTTATATAACCATTTTTCTTTTTCTTGTTTTTTATGTTGCTGTTTTTGTGTTGGTGAAATGACTGGATAAGTATATTCTCTGTTCTTGGTTAATTTCAGCCTCGTGTATACGTTTTGCTGCTTCCCTTTTCGTTTTGGTAGAATACAGGATTCCCTTCATTGAATTTGTATTGATAAGACAAAGACCGGAGGTCAATAAATGTTACAGATTATGTTAAGTTGTTCGTATTCGCGATTTATTTACATATTCGAACAAATAGAAAGTGGAAGGGGACAAATTACATTTATCGATTAGTTTTCGTTACTTTACAAATTGTTATTTCATGTTGGTGTTCAATGTTGATAAAATTGTAAATGGGTCTGTATGCTTACTCCAGAATAGTTTGATGTGATCAAATTCGTTATCACTCGATTATCTCATGGCTAGTTGGAGAACAGCATGCATAGTTTTGCTTCGACGTCAATGTTTTTTGGGTTTCTTTACTTTGAATGAGAAAATGCCTATGTTTTTCTGTTCTTAGTCCCACAGCATTTTTTCATTTAGAATATATTTCAATTTTTCTGGTATTTGAGTTTGTGAATTGACTTTTTGATTGAATGCAAATTTCCCAAGCGTCTGTTTGAGAACCTCCATGGAGCCCTATAACCTCAATCTCAACGTTAACTGCTGACCCTTGCCACTCTAGAGCCTTCTCATCCAAAAATCTTCTGATATTTATGAAAATTGGATTGAAACTATTAAGAACACTACTGCAATTGGAATGATAGTGAATTCTGCATTTCTCAAGAATCATTAAGGCCGGTGCAAAGCATTATCCTATATAGTTGGGTCTCTTGCTGCAAGTATGAGTGGGATGTGAATCCTTAAGTGAAGCCAATTTTATAGTGACGAACACGTTGCATAAAAACAGTACTTTTTATTTTGTGGTGCTGTAAGTAGTTTGACTGCTGAGGCCTTGATGTTAGATTCTGCACTGATTATTCTAGTCCTCGGGTTGTTCATGCTTCGGGGAATGCTACACTTTGTCAATTATCCACCAACTGCTTGAATGATTAATTGTGATTTATGTTTTACATGGTTGACATGTAATGAGAGATTGCTTGAATTAATGTCTTGGTTTATATTGAGATGAACACGGATGACCTGTTCCAAACATCAGTTAACTGAACTTGTGACTATGGAAACAATTGACCTGCTGCATTTTAATTAAACCTAGTCCTCTTTTAGGGCAATCGAAACAGTTATATTAATGATCTCTTTGCATTGTTTGAGAAATACTGTGGCCATGTAAAAATGAAGAATTCTCAATACTCAAATAAATACACACACTATAATCACATAAAATCAGAAGAGAAATTGTTTGAAAGAGATCAAATATACTACCAAACATCACTCAACAAACTAATGGAAGCTAACAAAGAAAGAACAAAATACACCATATTACCCTTGTACTCCCTCTCTCAAATCTCAGTTAGGCGGGCAAAACGTGACAACATACCTCTTAGCCCGACTGCACGTCTTGAGCCCACCCGCCTCATCATACGCATAGCTGTACGCCCTCGGGCACAACGCCTTGAACAGGTTGGCAAACGACGTTGGCTTACACGCTCGAGCACTCCCATATTCCCCCGTGCAGCAGTACTTATCCGCTCCTGTCGCCACACAAGCGCTCTTGCACCCCACCACCCTTCCGCCGGGCCCCCTCTCCGCAAGGCTGTCCGGGCAGTACGCGTTCACGTCCGTCTCGCACGCCGCCACCCCGCAGGCACCGCCGGCCGCCGGCACCATCGACGCCGGCAGGTTGAAACCGTCCACAAGGCTCACGTCGTAGTAGTGTGTTTCTGGGTCTGCTGCTGTTCCTAGGGTCATCTCCACCACTGTGGCCGGCGGGCGGCCGCCGGAACCCCAGCATGCCAGCTGTCCCCTGCAGTCGCCCGTCTCGCATGGGCCGTGGCCCGACTCGTTGAAGTTGCAGCCCGTGCGGGCCCACATGCGGCCGGACCAGAGGTCGGGGGTCTCGATGGCTGCCTGCTGGTTGCTGCCGAGAGAGAAGCCGCCGGCGGCTGGGGTTGGGTGGCCGGCTGTGCCGAGGAGGGCCGGCCAGNAAAAAAAAAGGAAAAAATAAGGATTGTTAGTGATCTGAACTTGGTACAAGTTGAAAAGTGAAAAGGAAAGGGAAGTATAGGTTGCCTGAAGATGAGATGGATGAAAAGAAGTAAAGGATGGAGATGAAAAGTAATGATTTCTGCATTTTCCTTTCTTCTTTTTGCTCCTTTCTTTATGTGTTATTTGATTTTGAGCTTTTAGCAAAACCTTGAGAATGAGAAGGAATAATAAGAGGAAGTTAAAGAGTGGTGGTTTTATGCGTGTTGGAAGAAGTGTATGGAGTGGGGGAACGGTTAAAGGCCACGATGCGGATTTTTTTTAATTTTTTTTTTAGTTAATTAAAAAATTATGACCACGATTTGCAGGTTTAACTCAGAATTCAACCACCCTGTTTTAATATCACAACTCAAATATCAGACATTAACGGAAGTGGTTGAATTGAAGACAGATTATTTATACAAGATTCAGCATCATAGCAAACTTAAGATCAGACAATAACCAGGAATTTCACTCCTTTACAAATGTTAGTAAAACCTTAAGATGTTAGGAATAATTCATATACATATATATATATATCATAGCAAACTTAAGATCAGACAATAACCAGGAATTTCACTCCTTTACAAATGTTAGTAAAACCTTAAGATGTTAGGAATAATTCATATACATATATATATATATATATATATATATATATATAATATAGTTCAAATATTATTGTCTATACTCTTGATATGATAAGTGATAACACATAGAATTCAAGTTCTATGATCCAGAGTTATTCTGAGTCAAGGCAAAAAGCTCAGCAAAATACATAGAACTTTGTAAAAAGTTGCTGCTTAACACAAGACACAGTACTGTATAATACTATATGTAGTACGACAAGCATGATTGAAGCTTTCAGAGGTTCCCTTTTCTTGTTTCTTCTCCAAACATCTATCATTTTAGTGGCAATACGACATAAAGATTACGCATCCCAAGAATTATCTCAAGAATGCTATTTATTCGAGCTTCGTATAAGGAGTTGTTCCGGTCAGGGGACGGAAGCCCTGGTCAAGAGCTGCTTGCCACACTTTCTGTATATCAAACATCATATCACCACACTCGTGCACGTTCCATTCTTCAGCCGCATGTACTATGCCAGCTATGCGCCTTGCACTCATCACTCTTCTCGGCAGCCAGTTCTGTACTCGACCGACACAATAAAAAGAATTAAGACACAAAGGAAAAAATTAGAGGGAAATTGTGCTTGATTAGAATGATCCTTAAATCCTAACCTCACAAGAATCGACATTCTCGAGATGCTTCGGGACTTGCATTGCTGGCGTCCAGCTGTACAAACAGTCCTTCCGGGCTTTCTTGGGCGGGAACTGAGAGAAGGGTATGAATGTTGTTCCTTTTGATGCCTTTAGTTGGTCGGTCTCTCGAAGCCCGTCACCCACTAGCCATGTCTGCAAAAATCACCACTTAATTTTTGTATCAGCACACAATATTCCGAATTTCCAATGCTGATAATAATAATATTAGGATTTCAAAAATAAATAAACAAACCTTTGGAAGATTGATTGGAGAGATCATCAGATTATGCACAGCCTCACTTGTAAGCTTTGCTTTCAACTTCTTGTACTCATCCTCGTGCATCGTGCATACCTTCAAAAACATGGGCAATCACAATAAGCTATGTTTATGAGGTAACATATATTTACTTTTACCGAGCAGTCCGTTTTACCTGGATGCCACCCTGGCACAAGGCCAGGGCAATCGAATACGCAACTTTAGAGAGATTGCCAGCAAGGAGTACTCGAGTTGTTCCTTTCGGGATACTGTTGAGCACGATAGCAACTGCTAAGCTGCTCCCATCCACAACCTTCACTTTCAACTGAGGTTGTCTTGTTAAGAATAGTTCCCCACTCTTGTTAAGCCCCTCGTCCTGAATCAATCGCGCGTGCCCGAATTCATTATAGTAAGAAGAAAATGAAAAAGGGCAAATACGGAAAAAGAAGAGTAATCGGCTTGCCTGATTCAATAGGCCTAGTGTCAACACCTTAGTGCCTTTTCTGTCAGCTTCTAGAATCGCATCTTCGATCATTCCATTGATCGACTCTCTCTGCCATTGCATGTAATACTGCAAAACCATATCAAACTACTAATGTTAGCCTATAATTAATTAAGGCTACCAAACATTTTCGATTTCAAACTTAATTACTTGAATGGTGTATTTGGGGACGGCCCAAGTTTGCAGCTTGAGGTGCTTGAAAGTGTTCCTCTCGACAATGAAAGTTCGGCCGTACATCCAATTGACCAACATTGACCAGATTGTGACAGGCCACATCAGCCGCAAGTACCACTTGGACTTGTGAGGCTCGGATGCCAGGTAAGCGAACCCCAAACGCAAGTGGTATATGGATTCGGGGGTCGTCAGGTGAGTCAAGTGGACAACATCTGGCGATTCCTCTGTCCTGACGAGCGAATTCTCGTATAACGAGTCGGATGATCTGTCCATGGTGCCGTATATATAATCGTATAACGGCATGAATAGAGAGTAGTTGGTTCTGAATTGTGTGTGATGCAGGGAATGATACCTGTGATAATGGGGTCTGTTATATCTACATTCATCATCAAAGTGTTACAAATTCATGTCCAGGCAGAGTAAGTTGCATTTTATTTTATTTTTTTTTGATGTCATCATAATGTTTCAAAACAATTAATCAATATAAAGTTTAATTAGAATGTGATTGAGGGTATAACTATTGACAGGTACATTTGGTATCATTCTTATTTTACACGTGTGTAATGGGCATGTTAAGGATAGGTAATATTAAATGTATATCCTGATATCTTTTAGGAACAGAGATATGGAATTTTTTTTGATTAATTTTCTTATGATTGAGAGGTATTAATTATACATTACATGGACAGATACAAGTATAAATATCTAGTTGGGATATTTTGGATTTGCGGTAGTGTTGTGGAGGGAGATGAGTCATGAGTGGCTCCAAAGCTACACGTTCCCAACTTCATTTATTAATGTATTTTATGCATGCTGCCAACCCTATCTACTCTATTTAGTGTGTTGAAAAGGTGCTAATCACATTCTATTCTAGCTCATAAAAATTCACAGCTGGCCTGGCTATAGCAATTCATAAATAAACAGCTGGTTGCCCCATCTGCCCATAATTTTTGGACCTAGAAACGTGTGAGGCCAATCAATATTAAACAATATTTTAATAAAAAAAAAAGAAAAAAAAAAACTGATCTATCCAAAGAGATCACATGCCAACTTCTATCTATCAGGATTCACGAGAGGCTCTTAAGATAACTAGATAAGCCTTGGTGATTCAATCAATCAGTACTTACTACAATTAATTCGACATACCACAAGATGATATTAATCATAAATTAGCAACCTAATTAGTTAAGGTTAATAGACATACATATGTAACTATATAAAAGTGATTAGATGTATTTAGAGAGGGAGCAATCAAACTACTTACGAAGGGGTGTACATGAGGTACTTGAGGGGAGGAAAAACGGAGAAGACCCACTTGGGAATGTGCTCGAAGTTGCAATGACCCATGTTGTTCATGAAGTCTATGTACGTTATGTAACCGGCGAACGAGGCCAATGAGGCCATCCCAGTCAGCACCGTCGTCAGCAATGGGATCGCGAAAAGTATGAAGTAGGCAACGTGCTCCCCAAACGGATGAACGACGGCTACAAACACGAATAGAATTAATCACATAATTTAATAAATTAATTATATGTATACAATCTTTGTTAAGTTGCGATTAACATATATGTATATAAGTTTAACTGCAAAATTTAGCCAATATCTTTTTTTAATGGGTGGAAATACTAGTTATCATCTTTATAAATCGACAACTATAGTCTACATTCAAACAAAATTATGTCGGAATTCACACACAAGGTTGATGTGGGCTCAACGTGACCAACATATATGCATCCACGTGGAGTCCACATCAACCGAGTGTGCGAGTTGCGATATAACTCCATTGAGTTTGGCTGAATTTGGATAATAATCCCGAAATTTTAGAAGTTGTTGTGGTGACTATTATTGCCACAGTTTAAAAAAGATACTGGCTACATTTTGCAATTTAATCCATGTATATACGTTGTTTCGTGCGCGTGCAAAATATTGCGTACAAGTAATGGGCTCGGTTACGATGGATGAGTGGTGGTGAGAATGATAGCGGGAGTAGAGATAGTGGTGGTGCAACGCACGGTGCAGCCAATAGTAAAGGAACTCGACAGGGCCCGTGTGCAGCAGCACGGTCCACACGACCCCATCAGTTCTCCACCACGGAAGATGATGGGCCCTCGCCAAATACAAGTACCCCACATAGAACATCAACCCATTCAATATTATCTGATCATCCCTTCACCACACAAAACAAAACAAAAAAAAAAAATATATCCTTTTTTTAGTCATTCAATCAATTAATTAATCAATTAACCTCAACATTACTACTATTATCAAGTGTTAACATCACAATTATTCAAATTTAAATCCTAATTAATCAATCAATTAACCTCAACATTACTACATATACATTTATTAATACATACCAATTTCTTTCCCGGTCGACCTGTTCGAACTCGATGTTCTTATCGACAATCCTATTAGCTCCCTTGGCCGTGCGGTAACGAGAGTAAGATATCCATATTTGATTGTGAAGCATTCTGGTTAGCAAGAAGGGGAATATTATCACGTGCGACAAATCCCTCTCCGCACCATCCTTCACCATGTATGTGTATGTCGCGTGAACTGCCCATGGTGCCAACACCGCATACTATATATATGCACAACATTAAACCAAAAATCAACATATCAACACAAATAAGTCAACTAATTTGTTCTAAAACACAAATTATTACTACATATAAACTGCATACCTTGTAGTTTCCAAGCCATGTCCATGGCCATTCTGTAAGAATCCCTGGTTTTGAAGCCATTTTTTCTCTTCCTTTTTTCTACACTAGCTAGTTGCCTCTTTTGTTTTTTTTTTCTTTTCTTAGCAAGATATTTATAACAGTGCTTAAATTAAACTAGCTGTTACTAGGTGTAGCGTGGTCATAAAAGCGGGTCAGTTTACTGATGGAGGGACGGCATCTCATAAATAGCTACCCGACGCGTGGCAGCTTCTTGTACGTCCATTTTCGATCATCCCACCTTCAATTTTGACCAACGTAAAAGTTGACTAACTCTTGCTTGTTTAGCCATTATCACAAATAAATTCAATCTTAGTTCAAAATTTAATTCAATTTTAGTTTAATCTCACTATCTTTAATATTATCAATATAATTAAATAATATTTATTATTCATCATTACACATTAAATCGACTTTAATTACTATTCATCCACTCACATAATTTTAGCTATCTATCACTTCTAATCATATATCTCATATTTTTACATTAAATTAATTTTAATAATTTTGTTTTAAATATTATTTTAATAAAAAATTTAAAATTTTATTAACAATTAACCATAGTTACTTTTTCAAAATTAACCATGATTATATATGTATAAACAAGTACACTACACCCTGCCTTTATGAATGTGGGGGAAATTAAGCGCAAGCGCAAGAAAATACTGTTGATCCTTTAAAAATCTTGCTAAAAATGAGAAAATACTGTTGATCCTTTAAAAATCTTGCTAAAAATGAGATGCAGCCCAACCTCTTAGCGAGTTAGCTCCCAAGTCCTTAATTGGCATTTAATAGACCCAACTTCTCTAAGTCATGTCACATGCGGTCTGCCTTTCCACATGCCGCTTCTAATTATAGCTTTTACACAAATTTTATGAGCTAACCGTGATATTTTTTTCTTAAAAATATAACTTATTTATGCAGTCAAAAATATCATATTTTTTTGTTCTTGTTGTTTTTTAGAATACATCTCATTTGATATATATATTTATAAAAAAATATACGGTTTTGTTATGAAGTCAACAGTTGGCTCCATAGCGGAGCCAACCTTCTATATACAACAAATAAATTACCATATTAATAAAATTATATTAATGTTACTGTTGTTATTGAGTGTAAATTGGGACACAATTTTTATTGTGAGTAGATCAACAAATTGATGCTTATTCTTATTCTTCCCAACAAATTGATACTTCCCAACAAATTGATGCTTATTCTTCTCAACCACCTCATCTACCATATTTTTATTCTTCCTAACAAACCAAAATGTCAATGATATTATGCTTTCTTCACACCTATATAATGGGACATCATATTATTTGATGAAACACACAAAAAGAGAAGGAAACACGCAGAGAAAGAAAGGAGAAGCAAATAAAAAGAAAGAAGAGAGAGAATAAGAAAAAAGAAGGAGAGAAAAAAAAAAAAAAAAAAGAAAGAAGAAGAAATAAAAATATTATATATATTTTTATTTTTAGTGCTCAATTCTCGATTCCGTTTCAGTTCGCCGGAGCTCGTAAATCTGGTGTGCTACAGATTTAGAGACGTTTGCCGTTGTATCTTTGGGGAAGTTACGCCTGAACCGTTAGCTGCCACACGGGGCGTATTCTTCTTGCGGAAAGAGCTTTACTCGCCTCGGCTAAAATCTTTCCGTTTTAATTTTTAATTTATTTTTAGGTTGTAATTTATTTTTCAGTTCGATTGTAATTTTCTATTTTATAGATTATTTGTAAGAACTGAAAAATACATATCAGTTCGTAGAATTCCCGTGTAATATTTATACCCAGTTGATAACA